GCAGCCCAATTCGTAACCACTATGCTACCAGAGCTCTGGTAGCATAGTGGTTACGAATTGGGCTGCTAATCTCATGGTCAGCAGTTCAAAACTATCAGCTGTTCCGCTGGAGAAAGATTAGACTTTCTGCTCAGGTAAAGATTTACAGCCTCGGAAACCCGGTATAGAATTGCTATGAGTTGGAATCGACTCCAAAGCACGTCACAACAACAACAACAAGCATCTAACGTGCATGAAGGAACAATAGAAACTGGCCAAATTAGGCCTGTCATGAGCCACATGGCTCATTACACCCACCAGTATCAAGAAATGGGTCATTTTCCTGGTCATCTCCACTGTATGACTTGGGCAGATGTTGTTACTCTGACATTCATGCTAAGCAGAGCTTCTTGACAATTGCAGTTATTACAGAAGCAAAATTGCTCTCTATAAAAGCACTCACACCTTCCCCTCTGAAGGTTCTGCTCTGCTCTCTTTGTAAGAGAATGCAGTCAAGCATCATGTAGCTCAAATCCCACTGAGCAAAGTAAGGAGTCCACTGATTTGATACTTAGCTTACTTTGTCTAGAGTTGCTCTTCTGAATCAGTATGAGCTATAAACTGGCAGCTAACAACTGTCCTCTCTGTGTCTCTCGATAGATAGATAGATAGATACTTAGTTAGTTATTTTGTTAAGTGTCATCAAGTCGGTTACGACTCATAGCAACCTTGTATATGGTTTCTGAGACTAAATCTTCACAGGAGCAGAAAGCCTCATCTTTCTCCCTTAGAGCAACAGGTAAGCTCAAACTGCAGACTCTGTGGTTCAGAGCCCAGTGCTTATCATGAGGAGCCACCAGCCACTCTGAATCACCGACCTTGTGGTCCTATAGCACAACACCAGTATTGCTTTAACACTTAAGAGAGGTCTGTTTTTACCACAGACTTGTCCAATGCATTATACAGTTTGATATCTTGACTGCTGCTTCCATGGACATTGATTCTGAATCCAAGTGAAATGAGATCCCTGACAAATTTATTATTTTCTTTATTTAATATATGTGTATATGATTATGTGTGTGTATGAGAAGAACCTTTCATTTTTAAATGTTTAACTAGATAGAATAATAAGAAAGCAATTCCATCATCCTGTAAAATCCTTTACATGTAGCCAAAAACCCATTACATAACTAAACAACATTTCCATTAACTTTCTCATTTCTTGGTGTTTTTTTTTCATTTTTCCTCTACTTTAGCTGTTGGCACTATAATAGAAACTTTAAATCATCCCACTGCAGGCACTAATCTGTCAATAGAAAATTGTGGTGCTAACCATCTCACAAAAAAATTAGTATGTATGGAGGAAAAGCTTTTGCAGGTTGCAAACACTCAGAAGTGAATATTTAGAAAATGACCCATTTCTGAATTAAGGGGTAAACTGTGCAAGGGCAAATTGGCAGCAGGATGTGGTAGAAAGTAAACTAATCTTGGAGTTAGAGCATTTTTGAAAAGCAGTTGTCAGTGAGTCAGTTTACGCCTCATGGTGAAGCCATGTGTGTCTGAGTAGAACTGTTCTACTTACGGTTGTTAATGGCTGAGTTTGGGGAAGCAGACCACCAGCCCCTTCTTCTAAGACTCCTGTGAGTGCACTTGAACCTTCACACTTTCAGTGAACAGTCCGGTGCATTAACCACATATGCCACGTAGGGACTCCACTATAACCTTGCTTTTTTGTTGTTGTTTTTTTTTAGTGAAAGTTCACAACAAATTGTATACTTTGTTTCATTACAATGATTATAATTCCCTCAGTGGACCACCAGCAGTCGATACTGACTCGATGGCACCTAACAACAAACCACCAGTTAACAGTATTTCTCTCTATTCATTTTAGCTCTCTTTTTTTGTTTTGTTTTCTTAAACACTCACACATATGTAATAATTTACACCATCAAAAGGCACATTCTGCAAGTCTGCTTCCTGGCCACCAGCTCTCAGTCCCTCTTTTTCCATGAATCTAGAATCCTCAGAGGCTCCACTATAACCTTTATCAAAAAAAAAAAAACAAAAAATCAAAAAAAATTTATTTCTATGGAGTCAATTTCAACTCATGTGACCCCATGTGTGTCAAAGTAGAAATACGCTCAATAGCTCTAATCTTCTGAAAGTTGATCACCAGGTCTTTCTTCCTAGGCACTTCAGGGTGAATTCAAAGGGCTTACTTCTCTATTGGACTCCTGGTGTGGCACTGTAGTATCAGCACTGGACTAGGAATCTCAAGGTTGGCAATTGAAACCCATCAGCCACTCCTTGGAAACACTATACACAGTCACTATGAGTTGGAACCAACTCAGCAGCACTTAGCAACAACAATAACAACCTTTCCACTAGCAGCCCTGCACAAACCACTTGCTTCGCCCAGAAACCTTCTATACCCATTGCCACTTTGCTTCTTCCCTGAGACTCTCAGTCCTGTTATCTGTTGACTGGGATCTATGAGCTGTCCTCTACAGCCTTCACATCGTTGTTGTTGTTAAGTGCCATTGAGTCAGTTCCGACCCATAGCAATCCTGTATAGGGTTTCCAAGGAGCGACTGGTGTACTCGAACCACTGACCTTGTGGTTCAAATTGACTTTGCAGTCCAGTGCATTAAGCCATAGTACAATACAAGGACACCTACAGCCTTTACAGATATTCCCAAAGTTGAAGGAGAATCTATATATGAAATGCATCACCTCTCTAATGGTACATAGTTGTGTTTAGTTACAGCACAAAGTTATTTGCTATTTTAGTTATTTTTGTTAAATGATAGCATAGAATTTCTATATACCCTCCAATAGTATATCTGGAATAAGATGTGCAACTATTTAGGTGAGTTTAAGTAAAGCTGTACTTTTTAATAAATATACTTACAGTTTTAAATAGTTTCTCTCCATGTGACATAAGCCTAGCAAGTGTATTTACATGGAAGTAAACCTGAGGATAATTATGCATTGTACTAATTTTGTCTCATAGAATGATTGAAGATAGTGGGAAAAGAGGAAATACCATGGCAGAAAGAAGACAGCTATTTGCAGAGATGAGTAAGTATCCACCTTTCAAGGAACATCGTACAGTTTCCATTGAACACACAAAGAAAGGCTGGAAGTAGCATTTAATCTTTACGAGTTTGGCACTTTTCCTTAAAAGCTTAAATCCCTTAAATAACATGTCGATTTTGATCTTTTTGTTTCATATGAGATAAGAGTTAAACTAGCCTGTAATGTATTACTAGACTATACGTTTCATATGAAAGACAAAACCTGGAAATACATAACCACATACACACATGTGGACACCTGAAAAACACCATTTGGTTTTCAACATTAACACAGTCTGCTGAAGTATAAAGTCGGTGCTCACCCCACTCTGCACTGCAGACACCTTTATCTGACACATAGATAAAGTTAGTGAAATGAATCACTAAATATCTTACCTAAAAAATGGTGTTTAAAGAAGAAAGAGGAGTCAGACCTAGCTATTATATCCTTTTATTTGGACCTCACCAAGTTGGGGAGAAGGAGCCCTGGTATCATAGTAGTTAAGCACTTGGCTGCTAACCGAAAGGTCAGTGGTTCAAACCTACCAGCTGCTCCATGGAAGAAAGATGTGGCAGTCAGCTTCCATGGATTACTGTCTTGGAAGTTCTATGGGGAGTTCTTCTCTGTCCTATGGGGTTACTCTAAGCCAGAATCGACAGGACTGCAACAGATTTAGCTTTTTGAGGTTAACACTGGGAAAATCTGTTCTAAAAGTACAAACGAATAAATAAAAGATGAAAACAGCTTGGAGGTGACCTACTATACAAGGGTAAACCAAATAAGACAATATTTACAGACTCCAGCAGAGAACCCATTCTAGTAATGCCATTGTTGATATAAGTGCCTGCTTGCTATGTTATAAATGAGTAGTGTCTGGCACATAGACCGTTTTTCTTATTCATAAAAGAAGAACTTGGCATGGGAAGAAGCACACATCTCAAATTAAATGTTGTAAAGAAATAAAAAATAAGGTTCTCTTATCTTTTCATCTCTCTCCCTGTATTAGGAATATGAGGAGGAGCAGTAGTGAGTTATGTGCCTCTTTCCCTGAGAAGGCGGTAGACAAAATTAGGTTTCTACTGAACGGATGGACAAGAATGAGGGGAGGAGGAGATAAAGAAAAGTCCCAGATAATAAGATTCATATGTTCCTTTATCATCTGCCTGTAGTCTGGCAGCGCCAAGACAATGTTAGAACTTACAAAAGGGAAAGAAAATTAAAATTGATCTGGGGAATCTCAATCATGCTTTTTACTTTTCTCTAGGAGAGTCTTCCACTCTTAGAGACATGTGGCTAAAGCATCTGGCATGTTTGGTTGTGTATCTCCACTCCTGGTATAGCCCACCCACTGCCATCATTCTGACTCTCATAGACTTGCTACGTAGGGTTTCCGAGGCTGTAAATCTTCACAGGAAGCCTTCATTTTCTCCCATGCAGTGGCTCATGGATTCTAACTGCTGACTGTGTGATTAGCAACCCAGTTCCTAGCGTACTACACCGCCAGCCATCCTTTTGGCCTGGCCAGTCACCTGTATTGTGACCTTTATTGATATAAATCTAACAGAGCCAAGAACCTCATGACTGCTTGCCTATCAGAAGAAATTCCCATAGAGAGCAGATAGCCTCCTCCCACATCATAGATGATTAGACTGAAAAAGTAAGAGGAATAACATCACGGGCCAACATCTTATCAGACAGAGGGAAAATAAAAATATTAATGTTGAACATAAAAGAAAAAAGGAACAAGATCTTGGGGAAAATCTTGGAACATATCATTGTAGTATCAAAAGCTCTGTCAGTACCCTATAAGACATAAAAATGCGCTTATTTCATAATCTGGTACATGCTGCTCTGAGTTAAAGTACATTGCCCAGTTTATTCTGCACTTGATGCAGTGTGTGGCACGGAGTCCAACCACTTTGAAGATTTAATTGTCCAACTAAAAGAAAGATAAATTGTTAGAGTCATAGAAGCATAACATCTCTAAGTATTTCTTCAAATGAGAGACACTTAGGAAAATTGTGCACTGATTTCCCAAATTGTAACTTTTCTTTTTATAGAAACTTCTCAGGGATAGCATGTGACTTTATTAAATAGTTTTACAAGTTCTCTGCATAAGTGATCAGAATCATTAAGCCAGCCACTGAAATCTGTATCATTCTTCCTTGAGTTGGCTCCAACTCCTAACAACTCTGTATAGGGTTTCTGAGGAGCAGCTGGTGAGTTTTAACTGATCTTGTAGTTCATAGTTCAGTGATGATCCTAAAGCACCACAGCAGAAGACATTCTTGACTGTAATGAATAATACACTCAGAGTTGATCTGACTTTAATAATCCTTTAATTTGTGCATCATGCTTAAGTAGAGCACATCTACATTGAGTAAGGATTCTACTAGAAAAACAAAAGGTTGATGTGTAATTGTTGAGAACCCTAAGGAACTCTAGTAGGGTAGTGGTTATGAGTCAGGCTGCTAGCCTCAAGATCAGCAGTTCAAAACTACCAGCTCTTCTATTGTTGTGTGCCATGGAGTCGGTTTCGACTCATAGCGACCCTGTATAGGGTTACCGAGGCTGTAAATCTCAATAACGGAAATTAATCCCTTGAATGAAAACACCAATAGCATAGATTATTTGTATAAATTCTTTAAAAATGATTTTGAAGCTGATGGTGTAAATGGACTGTGATGCTGCACACAGTTAAGCGTCTTAGTTCTGCTAAGACTTTGAGATCTCAGTGCAGTGGCTTGGTGCAATGGAATCCTGAACACCTGCCCCTCCACTCTCTCTGGGGACAGTAATGAGGCAGTGAGAAGCGTGACAGTAGTCAGAAGCTTCTTAAGGAGAAGAGTATGCTAGTCCTGGTCTTGCCTGCGTGAGGGATACATGGACTTATCTGACCCTGAGTTTTGTTCAAGAATCAGGAAGGGCTACGGACGTCTGCAAATGTTTCCTATTTGTGTAACTTCTTCTTGGCTGGTGATGTAAGCCCCGGATATTAAAAGGGATGTGGTGAGCAATAAAATTTAACTTTTCAAATATAGCAGCACACCAAGAATATAAATGGCAACCACAGCATCCATAATGGATTTGGGGACCAAAAAAGCAGAACTGAGCCATGCTCTGTGTATCTACTTTGTTTCAAATAAACTTCTTTTTATCTGTCCTCCACTCACAAATCCATGAACAGATTCAGTTTTACATATATGGTCTCCTCTTGAAAATCCTTAAATCCATAGCCTACATCTGGAATAAGTATGTGTCTTTTGTATCTTCATTCAAGGTAATGGTTAAAACCAAAGATCTGAACAGAGTAAAAGTAGAACCTTCCAGTACATCAGTAAAGGATATCTATGAGCGTCAGAACCTATTTGAAGACACTTAACAACAACAACAAGTACATCACTAGAGACCTTCTCCCAAGTTGACTGACACAATTACTTCCTTAGTCATGAAGATAACGCTACCTGTAAATCTACCTAACTGTATGCTTACCTACACTTCTTTAACATATGCACAACCTAAGAGTTTTTCTTAATAGCTTGATGAAATTAAGGATCTTATTTTTATCCTATGTTGTTTTCTTGATCTAGCAGTCTAGTAACTTTATTATAAGGAAAATGAGCTTAGCCATCCATCTATCCATCCATCTATCCATTCCTCCATACTTACATAGTTCTATAAATCCTTAACATATATTTTTGGTCTTACCTTCATCATGGAGTCCTGGTATGGCACTGCAGGATAATGTGCTAGACTGCAAGGTTAGTGTGAACTGCAAGGTCTGAGGCTCAAACCCACCAGCCACTCCTCAGAACAGTTTTATACAATTCAGTTATATTTTAATTTTTATCTTTTTATTAAAAATATAGAAGGTAAAATATGTTGTTGTTGTTAAGTGTCATCCAGTCAATTCTGGTTTGCAGCGACCATATAAAGGGTTTCCAAGGAGTGGCTAATGAGTTTGAACCGTTGACCTCATGGATGGCAGTTCAGTGCTTATCCTGGAGTGCCACACCAAGACTCCAACAGTTTATTATACAGCTTTCTATATAGTCATTCTGATTCTTAAATATATCATTCATTTAAAAAGTGTTCCAATAAACTTTATAGGATAATGATGCAACCTATGAACGCTGAGTCTGAATTATTTTTCATGCCTGATAATTAACAAAATGTGTGTATGTGTGTGTTTGAGAGAGAGATTGTTAGGGAAGTAAAGGAGTTTGAGTATAAAGGATGGTGTTTATATGTAAATATATATATATACAGTCCTGGTGTGGCGCTATGGCTTAGTGCACTGCACTGCAAAGTGGGTTTGAACTGTAAGGTTGGCAGTTCAAGCTCATCAACCACTCCTTGAAAACACTATACAAGGTCTCTGTGAGTTGAAATCCACTTGATGGCATTTAACAACAACAACATTTATGATAAGGAGTCCCTTGTGTTGTCAACGGTTAACACATTTACTACTAGTTGAATTTGAAAGTTAGAGTCCACTCACAGAGGCTCTTATAAAGACCTTGTGATCTTCTTTTGAGAAAATAACCCTTAGAAGCCCTATGGAGCTCAGTTCTACTCTAACATGAGTCAGATCAATTTGAAAGCAACTGGTCATTCTTTATAAATGTGAGAAGACGGCAGCTGTTTCTGGGGAACGCTTTGATCACCTAAGAACCACAGAAAACAGCAACAGAGGCAAATCCTTGGGAGAAAATCAAATTGTATTTGAAAAAAAAGCGAGCCAAGACTAAAACTTCAATACAGTCTGATGGCAGGGACTAAAGGGTACTGAAGACCAGAAACAGAATTAGAGTGCTCAGAAAATATAGGAAATTAAGCTAGGTGGTGACATAGGAAAAAGAAGAGACTTTCTAATATGATGATCTCTAGTGTGTTAACACATCCATGAGGATGTGGAGCAAGAGAAATGGAGCAAGTGGAAACACCTATTATGATGCTCTCTTATCAACCACGGCCCACGGCAGCAAGATATCAGTGTTCTC